GGTCAGCAGGAAGTATAAGGAGTTACAACACTACAATCCGGGGTTCGGTTCCACGTGGTGGACAGAGCACAAACAGCCCATTGTGTAGTTTTGCGATAACACAAACAATTAGCTGGTAGCGCCACATCAGTTTTACTAGTTACAACAATGATTGCTTTTATAGGGAGCGCTGCAATATTTTCTGTTATTACAAAATGATTATTTATAATTACAAAGTTAGCATAGCTTTTATTCTTACAACAATATGATTACTTTTATAATTACAACGTTAACATCGCTTTCATTTTTACAAAAATATGATTACTTTTATAATTACAACGTTAACATAGCTTTTATTTTTCCAATAATATGGTTGCTTTTATAATTACAACGTTAACATAGCTTTTATTATTACAATATGGTTGCTTTTATAATTACAACGTTAACATCGCTTTTATTTTTACAACAATATGATTACGTTTATAATTACAACGTTAACATAGCTTTTATTATTCCAATATGGTTGCTTTTATAATTACAACGTTAACATAGCTTTTATTATTACAATATGATTACTTTTATAATTACAACGTTAACATAGCTTTTATTATTACAATATGATTACTTTATAATTACAACGTTAACATAGCTTTTATTATTACAATATGATTACTTTATAATTACAACGTTAACATAGCTTTTATTCTTACAACAATATGATTGCTTTATAGTTCCAACGCTACAACAGTTTTTATTATTACAACTATATGACTGTTTTCGTATTTACAGCGTTATATAATGGTTCTTTTTCACAACAACATGACTGCCTTAACGTTAAAATGCTACTACAGTTTTTATTCTTACATCTATATGAGTGTTTTCGTAGTTACAGCGCTACAACGGTTCCTGTTACTACAACACCATGACTGCCTTAGAGCTGCAACGCTCCACAGTTTTTATTCTCACAACTAAATGACTGTTTTCTTAGTTACAGCTTTATACAACGGTCTCTTTTCTTTACAAGATGACTACTTTAGAGTTACAACGCTCCAGTTTTTATTCTTACAACTATATGATTGTTTTGTAAATCGACATTTTGTAGTTACAACGGCGTAATATTTTCTTCATAGCGACGTGCCAATCATACTGTACGACACACAATTCTATTGTAGTTACGTGGAATTGTTTCTAAACTTGTCTATCTATTATAATTGTATACAAGTGGAAAAACTTGGAAAAAAAAACATAATGTTCAATGTTATAAATGACGTATTTGTGTTCTTATAAAACAGAGGTTTATTTTTGCCGTTTGTTTCCGCTGTTCGTTTTTTATATCCTTCAAGAATGAAATAAATATCTAACTAAAAACTGATTCGTTAACGTCTTTACTTCGGGAATCCAGCTTTAAAGCAAGAAGAAGAAAACAGGGTCCTTAGTCGGCAGAACAAATATTTCAACCTGTTGCTTAACAGAAATGGTAAGGCGGGGAGCTCGAATTTACGAGGTGATAAACGACCAGACAGAAGCAAAGATTGCTGCGGGCGTGGGGCAGAGTCATTGTCTGGCCTACCGCCTTTCCACCCCCACATTACTGGGTTTGGTAAAAGGCCTAGCTCATGTTCTTGTCAGAGGGACAAAATGATCAAGGATTTATTGCTGTTAGACTCACGTGTCTTGGGTAAATATTGTACTACTGTTCAGCGGCTTGTTGGGAAATTATGTTGTTTCTCTGACTATCGAAAAGCAGTAAAACGTGGCTTTTCAGGGGGACAAATTGACGTCAGATGTCTGCAGGTAAAACTATCTCTCCTTACAAGACATTTTAGTTTGGAAAAACAGATGTAATTTATTCGAAACCTTATATAGAACTTATTATTCTCAAGTATATATATTGCGACGAGTTTGGCTTTTAAAAACATCTACGAAAAAAAGTAAAAAAAAACAAAACAATTCGGACGAATGCTCTACTTACCTGTTGTTTTTATTATTTCACTTTTAGGTTTTATTATTATTATTAATATATTATCCGTACTGTGTAGTTGGTGGAATGGTTGCCATGACAACAGTCTATTGGAAAGAACGGGAGTCCTTTAATGTTATTTAACTAGAGCAAATTAATATTATCTAATATATCTCGAAAGAAAAAAAACTATCACGTGAGTGCTAATCGCGTCTCTTCTATATCTCCTGATGTTACACAATTATTAGGTATTTTAGGCTACACCGTTTCAATGCCAAAGATAAAAAAAACAAGCCCTGGCCCGGCATGGCCAGGTGGTTAGGGTACTCGACTCGCAATCTGCGGGTCGCGGGTTCGGAATCCCCGTCACACCAAACATGCTCGCCCTTTCAGCCGTGGGGGCGTTATAATGTGACGGTCAATCCCACTATTCGTTGGTAAAGAGTAGCCCAAGAGT